CCCCCCCCCTCCCTGTTCCCCAAGGGCCACTGCCCCACCACGCTGCAGCTGCTGGCGGGATTAGTGGGGATCCCAGGCAGCAGAAGGGCAGCGAGGTGAGGGCTGCTCTGGTGCCTCTGCGGGCGCTGTCTCCATGGTTTTGCTCCCCCATCCCCTGCGCTCCAGCTTTGGGTGCTGGATGGGGACAGGCAGGGAAGCTGTTACCAGTCTCACTTGTGGTTTTGATGGCAAGGTAAACAAATTATCAGCAATTAAGTAATCTGCTTCCCTGGGGAGACGGTGGGGAAGGGGTGCCGCCAGCACGGGCGCAGTGTCGCTGTTCGCCATCGTGGGATGCAGCCAAGTGCCAAGCGCGGCTCCGGAGCCCCAACCTTTGCCTGCTCCAGGGCAGGAGGCGTCAAGGCACTCGCTGCCCAGCGCCGCTCCCTCAGGTGCCACGTGGCAGTGCCGGTGCCCTTATTGCGCCGGAGCTGCCGCGGCGGAGGGCGTACCACAGGGTCCAAGTGGGAGGCTGGGCAGTGCCAAATCACTCGGCGAGCACGGCGCAGCCCCAAACCCCCCAACCTCCGGCGAGTGACAGGCAGGGGAGCCCTGGGACCCCTGGTGCCTGTCACCACCCCATGGTCAGCCCCGGCCCACCCATGTGCCCCGCTCACAATAAGCACGAAGACAGCCAGCAGCTCAGCCAGGCACTCCCGCACCAGCTGGTTCCGGATGCGGAGCAGAGCCTGGGCCCTCTTCAAGAAGGAAGCGGTGCCCATGGGTCCGGCCAGGAACGGGCAGCGGCGACAGTGGCGTCGGTGTCTCCGTCCCAGTGAGATTTTATGAGCCCTGGGGCTGGGGTGGGTGATAACACGCAGACTTTAAACCAATCAGGGCCACACCACAGGGAGACGCCTGGCAGGGACCAGAGTCCCGCATGGGGCCGGGGACAGCAGCGCCTCGTGTCGATGGCGTCCCCCGGTAGGACCAGACCTGGTGGGAGCCCCCGAGGATCCCTGAGTGGCCGTGGGGAACCAAGACCTTGCTCAGGTGAGCCGGCACGGGCGTTCCCCCTCCTGGGAGCCCCGCTTTTTCCCTGACAGATCCCTGCTCAAGCTGCAACCGCAGGCAGCGCTAATGAATAGGCCTTGGAAAGGCTCCCAGGACGTGCCCTCGAGAGCGGCCCAGGGGAGGCGTTAGCACAGCGCCGGGCCGGCAGGGAAATGGGCGAGGGAGGTGGCCAGGGAGCAGCGCAGGCATGGGGCCAGGGCAGAGGAGCCTGGCGGCTGCCTGCACCCGTGGGGCAGCCCCCAGGAGCCGCCCCTGGCAGCTGTGCAGGTCCCTGCCTCTGAATCAGGAAGGTTCCAGCCTGAAGGCGCCTGGCAGGTCGCTGTTAGCATAAATAGACTTTATTGCTCTGTACACACGCGCACACACACACTTGGCCCCCATGGGGGTCCCCACAGCTCCGCAGCGCCCCAGAAGGCATGCAGCCCCCAGCCCAGGCGCCAGCTCCCAGCAGGATCTGACCCGTCTGCAACAAAAACAGGTGGTGAGAAGAGGCTGCTGCCCACCGCCCGCCCTGAATGGAGCTGGCAGCTCCGGCCCCCAAGCCGGCGTCTGTCCTCACGGCCCTGGGAAGCCCCGGGGTCCCCCAACCCCACACCCATCACACATACGGGGTGCTCAGCCGCGGGGCGCACAGCTACCAGCTCGAGAACCAGCGTCGGAAGAAGCTGCCCAGCACGGACGAGGGGTCGCTCAGGTTGGGAGTGCGGAGCTCGTCTTGCCGTGGCCATGTGCCCGCGAACTGTGCCAGCTCCCCTGGGAGGACAGGGAGAGCTCGCTCAGAGGACACCCGTCCTGCTCCCCTCACCCTCCTCAGCGCCCCACTCACGGTCATCCATGTTGACCACCTCCTCCTGGTAGTCCTTGCTCTGCCCATCCTCCTTGGTGGTGGTGATGAAGGCCTGGTCTCCCCTCCGGCGGGTCACCGTCGTCTCCCGGCGGCCCTGGCTGTCCTGCACAGTCCGGCGCTCCTCCACCGCCTGTGCAGAGCACCGAGCCCTGAGAGACGCCACCACCCTAGGCTCTGCTCCTTGCGCCGGGGACAGTGTCCCCAGGTCACCCGTGGCCCATCGCTGTGCCCGCAGGGGACACTCACCCCGTCAGGGAGAGTCACTTTGGTGACGGAGACGCTCTGGAAGTAAGAGCGGGACTTGGGCTCGTCGGGTCTCAGGATGGTCCCCAACCCGGCGGAGGAGACCTGGGAGTCCAGGTCTGCGGGGGAGATGTGAGGTGGTGACAGCAGTGTGGGGACACGCCCTGACGGCTGTGGCAGCGCGGGTAGGTAGAGTGGGTAAGGCAGCGACCCCACAGCCCCGCTGCCAGCACACACCTTGGTCTTCCTTGAGGCCAGGAGGAGATGGGTGAGCGTCTTCTAGCTGCAAGGCAAAGCCACGCGCTGGTGACGGGGAGGCAAAGCACAACACCGCGATGGCAAGCTCCAATGGCTGCCACAGCCGAGCGCA